AGAGCTCCCGTTGGGATTCGGCTTGCTCCCTTGTTTATTACGTACATCACCTCAGTGTATGGTATTTACATTTATTCAAGTGTTGTGCAAATCATGGCTTCTAAAAAAACAGAAAGGTGATTTCAATTGAAACAAAGCAAGAAATCATCAGAAGGAGTGAAAGTTGACAAAAACTTCCTTGTCAAATGGGGAGAGGTTCAGGAGTTTACCAACACTCATTATCCAAGCAGAGCTGAGGCCAACAGAATCAATGATCTCTGCAATGACACCCTTGCCCATCATTTCTGACAGGTGTTGAAGAAGAGAGAGAAACAGACCACCTTGGACATGTTTTTCAAGAAGCCAGCTGCCAAAACACAAAGGATGTAACAAGAGGACTGACCCTGCATGTTCCGGTAGCCTTTCCTGAATCTTACTTCGATTAAAAAACAACAAAAAGAGACCTGCTGCAATATGTAAAAAGTCTGTATCTGTATGAATGTGTGAAGAAAGTGTTTCTCCACCTCCTCCTCACAACATCTGACTACCCGGCATAGTTGGTGACTGCTCCATTTTCATTTTTTTCATGGTACAGTACTGCGGAACGAATTATATGTTTTAACATGTATTTCTATGGGAAAATGCATTTCGTATAACGGACTTTTCACTTAACGGATTAAGTATGCATTTGTTTAGCTTTAGACGTCAATATTAATTTTTACAAGTTAATGTATCATGTGAGTAATAATAACACCATTTTTATGTTGAATTATTTGAAGTGCAGATTATTGAGAATTTTATTATATAGATATATAATATGAAAAAAAGAATACCTTAATTGAGGAAATATTTTCAGTTTTTTATTTATCACTTATAAAAATTAAAACTTGGCTGACAGTATTTACATTTTCAAAAATATAAAAATATCACAAATATACATTTTATACTTTTAAATTTTACTTAGCTATTTTATACTAGAAATTCTTCTGTCAAGCATGATGGAATACTTTTTATGAGAAAATAGAGATTGAAGAATTGAGAAGAGTAGATATTTCAAGAAATTCAAGAATAGTTGCTAATATTTTTACAAATTAAGTATTTTTTACTTGAGCTTGATGTTGTGATGCTGTATCTGCAGCCCTTGGCAAAGCCATTCTTATTTGATGTTGCTCAAGTCAGACTTCATTCAGTGGTCTTGGTGGTGGTTATTCTTTTAGATCTAGAATTTACCTGACCAATTTTACTCACATTTTCCTAGGTTTTTTTTTTTTTTTGACAAAATAGTGAGTTTTTTTAATTGCATGTTGTTAAAACAAAAATAAATTGTATGTACTGTACATTAGCGAGATGTGCAATAACACTTTTTAAATAACAGTCTCATTAGATCATTACTTCTGATTGGATAGTAGAATATCACATGGTCAGTACAGAAAGATTTTTTTTTTAAATTCCTTATAGAAGTGATGTGATGGAGCTATCTTTTTTTAAAGTTTAAATTTTAAATTTAATGAAGTAAGTTTAAAATATGCCATTTTTCAAAATATTTTAAAATGCAACTTAAGGGAAATTCCCTTGTCAAGCATGAACTAAATGAGGTCACTGATGTCACTGCGATTACCAATACCAAATCAATAAATGTTTATTTTATAGCTAATATTTCCACAAAATAAATAGCCTATACTTTCCATTAAAATGTTAACAAATATAACCAAAATTTCATCTGAATTGGACAAAAGCTGTAGGAGTTACAAGGAATTCACACACTCACACTTTTGCCTATCTTTAAAAATTTAATCTTTTTATGTAGTAACTTTTAATCTATAAAACAAAGCACATTGGCAGTCTTTCGGATGTATTTATGGCACTCTCACCAACAATGACACTACTTGGTTTATAGGAAGCTATGTCAACGAAGAAGAAATAATGTATAATCAGTTCTAATTAAAGAGAACCTGGCAAAAGGCATGAAACATTGCCCATGGATTTTGGAATATTGAAATTTTGAAATATCAGACACCATGCTTGCTTGAATAAAAAAATAATATTGAATGATGGTGTTAAAAATTGTGACATTTTGTATGAGGATGTCTCCAATTCTCAAACTATGTTGTTTGGGGGATTTTCCCAATTTTTGAACTGTATTATAGGAATGCTGTGTTATACGAGGGATACCTGTATCAACTTTTTAAATTTAATAATAAATTAAATAAACATTGGCTTTAATATAGCAAAAAATATGAAAATATTTAATCTCTATTTAACTCAAAGTATATTCTTTGGATCTAAGCTACAGCAGTGTGATTTAAATTATTAAAATGATTCTTTTTATAATTATATATGTAATAAAAGTTGATTAGTAATTTTAGTAATTATTATATAACTAAATGTTATGTATATAAGTATAAATTACAAAATTAATTCTTTTGCCGTTGGTTTTTAAAACATAATTTATATGATTAAATTACACTCTCAGAATACATCTGCAATATTTCAAAATTAGAGTGAAGTGATTGGCAGAATATTGATCACACATCTTAGATGAAACTCTGATTCTGATTGGTTCTCTGATATTTTTTGATTCTTACTCCTTTATATACACACTAGAATCAGTTATACTAGAAAGTTGTTAAGTTAGTAGAATGTCCAAATTTCAGCAGTAACATGAAATATTAATACTAGAACAAATGTTTTCAGATTAATATTGCATGTTACTGCTGGAGTTTGGGTGTTCTATGTAACTAGAAAGTTGTTATAGAACAGATACAGTACTGCAATATTTACATTTTATTTAACCGAGAAAGAAAAATATTAACATTTACTGATTTTAATAAATAATATCTTATATATTTCAACAGATAGAATTTTATTTTTTTTCCCCCATGACAAAAATAACATTCTGTAGTTTTTTTGTTCTATTTATAAATATTCTAGTAATTAGAAATTTCTGAAAATAGTTTACTACTTTCAACATAATATTTATCTGGTCTAAATATAGCAGTATTTTTTAAACATTGAACATAATTGATCTTGCATTCCATTTTAGGGAAATTGCATGAATTGTATAGGGTTTTCCAAAAAGAATGCTACCATTTTGAATTACTGTAGTTATGTTAATTATTACCTAAGAAGTATGTGACATACACTAATCAATAGAATAATCATCAAAGTTTTATCTCCCAATCCACATTCAAATGTATTGCTATCTACTATCTCTAGGAAGCACCATAAATGAAAATGGTGACTCTGCAACAGAGAAGACATTTGTGTTTTGCAGTTTTCAAAATCAGAGTCATTTGTTATTGTGCAAAACTTAATCTGCCAGAGCCGTAGAATTGTGGCTGTAGTGGTAAGAGTGACAACGGATATGCTGTAGCGAGCGTAGAAAGAATTTGTGTATTAGTTGGTGTACACATTGACAAATTGTAATGGAAAAATGTAAAACTTAGACTGTTTTCCAATGTTTTAATGCACATTATAATGTTATCGGATAATAATGAACATAATTAGTCATTTTAAATGGTAGTGTTCTTTTTGGAAGATCCTGCATTTGTTCATTAGATGAAATAATAATTGAATTTTATGGATGACTTTTCTAAATTAACATTCTATTAAAACGGTTTATATCAATCCTTGTGTTAATTCTTGTATAGTAGCAGAATAGTAGTGCATAAAATTAATAACTATATAAACAATCAATAGACTAAAGTACTATAATTATAAACTGGCTAACACCAGATTGTTTTACTATAATTCTATGATTTTTTAAAATTATGTGAGTTGGAAGTAGTGGTAATTACTACCTTATCACATTTAAAATTTCATCCATTTGATATCCATTATCATTCCAAATTTGGATAATGATTGATTAAAAACATTATTGTATTTATAGTCTAAAATATACTACAATAATTGCCTTATAATTAAAATTAATAATGGTTTTGTTTTCAGAAGGTAATTATGAAACAGAAAATGAAAAACAGCTGTAATTTCCAATACAAATTCTTTAAAATAACAAATATTTTCAACTTTAAAAATATAGATATCTTTTTAAAATTGTACACTTCATTCTATCTCTGGATGTTCTGTGAGTTTCTTTAATGTTTGGTGTTGTGTAGTGTAGCTTTGACAAAAGCCTTTGAACAAGGTCAAAGTCATTTGTTGTTAAAGAATTTGTTCTGCAGTTGCGGTTGTTTATGTTTACTGTTTATTGATCATCCAATTTATATCCAGTTTATGCATTTAATTTTCTTAATTCTCAGTGAAATTTCTATGCCTAACTTAAATCTCTAAATATTTTTCATTATTTTGATGCTATGTTATTTTTTAAATTTACAATTAATATTTATTTTTGCATATTTATAATGATTAATATAAAATAAATTACATATATAAAGTTTTGCAATGAATATTTTTCTTTTGTAGATCGTCCTACGTTGAAGTTTTCTATATGCAGTATATGATTTGTTGACATTTATGTGATATATGATTTGCGGATGATGAAATATGACAGCTTCCACTTCAAGCTCTTGTTGCCTGTGGTAGCTTGATGAAATATCATCATCAGTCAAGAGATTATATCAAGAAAAAGTTATTAGTTTAAGTAAAAATTGATTTATTACTAGTAAAAATTTATCCAGATATGTAATATTGATATACTTTCCATCTCTAATTTGTTGTTTCTAAATATTTACTTCATTTTTCTATTTTATTATTTAAATTATAAAACAAATTGTTTATTTTTTGTTAAAATGCTTAAACATTGATTTAATGGCAGCTAAATTAGTTAATGAAATAGCAATTTAAAAATTTTTATTTAGACAGTAAACAATAGGATAATTTAGAAACTATCGGAGCATCCTAAATTTTTTTCCATCATAATTTATTTAATTGCGGCTATCGATAGTTAAATGTTACGTTTAGAAAATTGCCCAAACTATATACAGTTTTAAGGTTATGGAAAATATATTTAAGTAAAATATTGTATGATAAAAATTGGAAATAAACAGATGTCTCAATTATCATTACAGATATGTAAAAGTTGTGTCTAGTGTTTTTATATAATGTGTAGTTTCTCCTAATTTTAATTTATGAATATGCTTGTTTTGCATACATGTTATGTTCATATTCAGGTGTTATGTCTGTTCTTACAGCAGTGCCATGAGAAAATCTATTTTAAATTAATCAGATACATTTTACTGATATGCTAACCTTGCAGTACAGCTGTAAGAACCAAGGCTAGTTTTACAAACAAGTTAAACAGATTCTGGCTTATCATCTCTCTTAAATTTATAATTATTTGGTAAAAGTTTAGGAGCTGCTACAAGTCTAAATCTGTCTAACTCATTTGTGAAGACTGATGCTGTTTTTTTTTAAATTATACGTGTCATCAATGGACAAGTAGCACTATCGGTGTACTAGACCAGACTAGACGTTTGCAGTGCCACGGTTTATAACTTTGTTAAATTCCTTCTGAATTTAATTTGTAAGTAAAATTTTATTCCTTTTATTAATCATGAATTGCAAAAAGGCAAGTGAAAAGCAACAGAAAACTAAAAAAATTACTAGAATCACAATGGAACTGAAAAAAGAGATTGTTGAGGAATATGAAGGTTGTATGTGTGTTTGAGATTTAACTGTTGCATACCATATTCCGAGAACGACAATATCGACAATCGTGAAAAATAAAGACATTATTAAATCTGCTAACGTTGAGAAAGGAGTTAAATCAATTTCTAAACAGAGATCAAAGACATTAGATCATGTTGAGAAATTGCTTTTGCTTGGATAACTGAAAAACAGTGTGCTGGCGATATCCTATCAGAAGCAATTATTTGTGAGAAAGCTAAAAAGATACATGTTGATCTCAAGAAAAATCAAGCAGGAGCTAGTCAGGAAAGCGAGGTGTTTAAAGCCAGCCATATTTTTTTTACATGAGAACGGATTAATCATTTTTACATTACTTCTTATGGGAAAGGTTGGTTTGGTATACGTCCTATTCGGTATAGGTCCGAACATCAGGAACAGATTAAGGTCGTATACCGAGGTTCCATTGTATATAGTTTCTCATAAACAGATATTTAAGCAGACTAATATTTATGTTTATCTGAAGTGTTTCATTTACTAATTTATTTTCTGTGAAGAATTTAGGCAGATTTATTAAACAAATAGTAATATACTAAAATTTAGTTCTGCACTTGTTAACGAGACTGAACTGTTATATAATTATGAGGAGCTAAAGCACTTTTTGGAGTGAAAACTTTATCAGAGGATGTTGAACATTACTTCTTGCTCCAAGAAAGAATTGAAGTATCGTCTGAGATCTAAAAATTATATTTATTTTCCATATTTCATTATCATTTTAAGTATTTTGATTTATATAACAGAAAAATTTATATAATTTTATTTAATGAATATTTTGATTTTGTGGAGATCCGATAGGAAGCGAAACTAATGTATGTTCAGTTTTGTTGTCACGTGATTGAAATGATGTACAATGTTTTGAAAACTGGAATAGAGTCAAGGACTGGTGACTTCATAACAATGTGAATAATAAAATCATACAATAAAAAAAAAGAAGCTTTTTGAAATAGAAGAATAATTAGCAATAATTTTCAAAATTTTTATTGAAACCAGAAATTAATGTTAGAAACATATTTAAAATAATGAGTACATTCCAGTATGCATCAAAATAGTGCATCAGTGAACAACGGTGTACTAAAATTTAGGTGCAGTGACTGATACAAATGGCACTCATTGGGCTGTGGATAGAGTGAGTTCTGATGAAGTGATATGGTCACCTACATGGTTTTATTATTAAAACCATTTTTACTTTTCATCTGTATTAATTAAAAGTTATTTTGATAAAAATAAGTGTACAAATGCTAATGTAGGGTGCTCTGTTTCCTCCATCTTGTCAGGTTGCCAGACTTTCAGTAATAGCTTGTTAAACTGTAAATTGCTGCATTGATTGAGGCAGAGACTGATGCATACTGGCGTGTACTCAATGTTATCATATTTATTTATGAAGATGAAAAGTTTGATGTTACAAGACTAGAACTTTGAGATTGAAATAAAAATTTACTTAACTCTAAAAGATATTGTCAGTGTTTTATTCTTGCTTTTCACCCAGCTCAATTTTTATAATTCTTCTGGAAATTTATACTGAAAGTAAATGTTTGAAAGGAATGAGTGAAAGAGTAGATTTTCTTTGTTAAAAAAGTTTTATCGTCCAGAATTACGTCACAGTTTTTAACACTGCAGTTATGCCCTTTAGCTTTCTTTTATACTTAAGTTCAGAAAATATTTATTTTAAGCACAAAATAGAATTATTTTTACATTTAATTTTAATTATAAATAAGTATTGGAGATAATTTTCTTATTAAATACTTTACTATTTTTGTATGGGTTTATTTTCTCTTTTGTGAGCACTTGTAAAGGCCTGAAGTGGATCTTTACAATAAACTTATCATTGGTTTGACTAGCTGGGAAGTAACAACATTTGCAAACTCTATAAACTGAATTATAAGATCATTTCTATGGTGTAAAAGCTTGAAAATATCTAATTTAATTGAACATAAAATATGATATAATTTGTTATCTGACATTAGATCTCAGATAAATGAATATCCTCTAATTTTGCTGGATCTATAAAAATCAGTACTTTGAACATTGTCTGAGCTCATTACAATACCATAAAAATAGATAATTTTAAGAGAAAAATGAATTAAAATAGTGACTGACAGCATTTCAATGGAACTTTTGCCTGCTCACGAGAAATAGCACTTTTAGGTTTTTCATGGTGAGATTTTCTTATTGAGAGTTTTCATGTGAGAAGCCACTAGCTTTTCTACAGGATTGAAATTTAGAGAACATGAATATCGTGGCAGAATGTTGAACTGTTATGGATCTACAGGTCTAGATTCTTATATTTTATTCTGGAAGACACATTGAGTTGCTACTTCTATGAAGGGATGATAAAAGACGATGTCAGTGCCAGCTCTCCAAGATTCTGGTCTAAACCATTTAGTTTTCAATATCATAGTTTTCACATTCAAAATACTGTATATTTTTTCCTCAGATTATACCAATAACGTATACAAGAGTCAGAACCATCATGTGAAAACTTTTCATAAAAACACAGTACCTATGAAGAAAATCTCTAGATTAATATGTGACAAGGTGTAGAAATGAGAAGTCAAAGGCAATCTTGCTCCAGTCCAGTCTCTTGACATATTAGCACTGGCAGACACATGCTGAAAGATGCTCTTTTGGCATTTTTATATCTGCATACTCATGTACAGCTCGCCAGACTTGTACTTTCCTACACAATCAAGTACAGGTCATGACAAACTTGACCAATTGAATTGTTTGAATTTGATATTTCTTCACTAATAAGTATTCATATTTATATAAAACTTAGGATCTATAACCAGTGCTGTAACTAGGCAGGTGCAACAGGTGCACCCACACGGCCCACTTGGAAGAGGGGCCCAAAATGCATGTATTTGTTTTATTACTTTCCCAAATGTAATTAATTAAGGGGCCTAAATGCAAATTCCTGCACAGGAATGGCTAGTTACGGCACTGTCTATAACACTTGAGTCAATTTGAATCAAATTCCTTTATACAATGCTTATTTGTCAGTACAAAGATGATTATACTGTTAACAGTACAGTTGATACATGGGAAATATCAAAACTTTAGTGTTTTAAAAATTGTATCAATTTATCATGGATATGTGATATTGTATAACATATAAAGTAAAAATATCTTGATTATATCTGTTGACGTTGCCAGTCAAAATTATTTTTATTGGTTTAATGTATATAAATAAGCATCCTTAGTGTGATACTTTGTCCCTTGTTATTGGCTTTAGCATAATGTGATATGAAGGAAAAGCAGAGTATCATAGCAGTAAAGAGAAGCATCATGCTTTATACCTGTATCTAGTTATTATACACGGAGAAAAACTAATGTATTCGATATATATTTCAATTCATGAATCGAATTTCTATAGTACAAGTAGAACTCTTACATACAGATGAAAGGCCCCTTTGAGTTTAAATTGGTCTTCAATCCGTGGTTCCAAAATAAGGTTACATCATGATCTTCGTGAGTTTAAAACTTTTGAACGTATAGAAACTAGTATATATCTGAAATTAGACGAGACATACACCTTAAGGCATTTAAAATTACTTTATATGTAAATATAAGAATATATTGGTGTTTAGTTTCAGCAGAGGTAAGGTGTAGAGTCTACGCTTACACCTACACTAAACGACGTAACCTGTCATTTAGCGTAGGTCAGAAACAACGGAAGTTCAAGTTCAGAATAAATACGGAAAAGCAGGTAGGGTCGTTGACTCTGGTATGACGACCTTAGGTGCTGCGAAACGCTCATCATGAATGTCTCCCGCTTTTTGATCGCTCTTGTTTTGGTCGTACCGCATTTTTGTTTAGACAATCGCAACCAAGAAATTGATAAGAATAATGATAAGGCCACTAGAGAATCAAGTAAGTTTTTTTACGCTAACTCAGCATATTTTATTAGTGTTTTATGTATCTCACTCTATTTGTACTGCACGAATTTTTTTTTTCATTTAAAGTTGTATTTTTAAAAAATCGGTCTTTCCGTCGATCGAAAGTAAAGAAAGGTTCGAAAATAATATATATATTAAGTACTCTAACCATAAAAATTTTTATACAAGATGAGTGATGCGAATTTCAAGTTACTCTGCACGTTGCCAGTGATTCGATATTGCGTGATATCCACCTCTTAATTTCAGGATTGAGGAGGGCCATCATAAAAACGTCGTCTCCTGCTTTGTTACTGCTCTCGTTATCCGTAGGAGCAATAGCAACGTTTTACTTATTAGAATCTCCCCTCTCTCCGTTACCTCTTCTTCCCTTGCCCTATCCACCGGTTGGCACTTATCCACCCAAAGAAACGGTGGCTGCCGGAAGAAATTTTGCCAAGAATCAATGGATGCTGTTTACTAAACATTGACATTTGATTAAATATCCGGTAAGCTCATCGGCTATTTTTTTTAACGTTATTAACGTAGAATCAATTGTATATTTCATAAATAGATCATACTATTCAATATACGGACCATAATATAATAATTTTGTGGGTCTTCCGTATATACGCTCTATATAATGCCCTTTTTATAGTAGTACTATTTTTGAAATTTGTTATAAAACGGGCTCTCAATTATTGGGTGCTATGTCTCTAATTATGTCAATGGTAACACGTGAGGGTGTCGTGTTCCACCCGTTCGTGACAGTTCAACACGTGGGGGTGTCGCATGGCACCAACTCGTGACACCATATTCGTGTTGCTTTCTACTCGCAAAACATACTAGACACCTAAATTATATAAGCCCGTTGTTATCCGGTTAACTTTTATGAAATTTAAACATAAAACACTTGTAGATTCTGGTATATAAATCTAATATTTACTATTCGTAATTTTGTTTTCAGGGTAAAATGTGATATTGAGAGGATTCCGAAAGAAAATACGAGATTTATAATAACTAAAATGTCGAATTTTATNTATATATATATAACACACTAATTTTTTTTATCTTTTCTACGTTATTTTTAAATTATTGTCATTATGTTATGTAAGTTAAGTTTTAATATCATTTCCCTTCTCCCTCTCTTCCGCCACCATTTTACACCTCCACCATCGTCTATCCTCAAAGGTAAAGTGCAAATAAAACTACATTTTTTTTAATCAATTAGTCTATTATTCTATTATGGTTATTTATACATTTACAAAATGCATTTTTCAGTGTTTTCCTTACAAAAGTTATTATTTTTTTTCAATGTACTACTTAGCTTTAATTTGAGTGTGTTTTTCGTGTTGAAACAAATTATTTGGTTTTACATGTAATTGTATGGGGAAAAATGATTCGCATTACGATATTTTCATGATACGATCTCAGTTTCGGAACGGATTAATTTCGTATCCTGAGGTACCACTGTATATTAGTATTATTAGAATATATTATTATTATATCTGAAGTACAGAGCTCCTGTTGGGATTCGGCTTGCTCCCTTGTTTATTACGTACATCACCTCAGTGTATGGTATTTACATTTATTCAAGTGTTGTGCAAATCATGGCTTCTAAAAAAANAAATCTCTAGATTAATATGTGACAAGGTGTAGAAATGAGAAGTCAAAGGCAATCTTGCTCCAGTCCAGTCTCTTGACATATTAGCACTGGCAGACACATGCTGAAAGATGCTCTTTTGGCATTTTTATATCTGCATACTCATGTACAGCTCGCCAGACTTGTACTTTCCTACACAATCAAGTACAGGTCATGACAAACTTGACCAATTGAATTGTTTGAATTTGATATTTCTTCACTAATAAGTATTCATATTTATATAAAACTTAGGATCTATAACCAGTGCTGTAACTAGGCAGGTGCAACAGGTGCACCCACACGGCCCACTTGGAAGAGGGGCCCAAAATGCATGTATTTGTTTTATTACTTTCCCAAACCTAATTAATTAAGGGGCCTAAATGCAAATTCCTGCACAGGAATGGCTAGTTACGGCACTGTCTATAACACTTGAGTCAATTTGAATCAAATTCCTTTATACAATGCTTATTTGTCAGTACAAAGATGATTATACTGTTAACAGTACAGTTGATACATGGGAAATATCAAAACTTTAGTGTTTTAAAAATTGTATCAATTTATCATGGATATGTGATATTGTATAACATATAAAGTAAAAATATCTTGATTATATCTGTTGACGTTGCCAGTCAAAATTATTTTTATTGGTTTAATGTATATAAATAAGCATCCTTAGTGTGATACTTTGTCCCTTGTTATTGGCTTTAGCATAATGTGATATGAAGGAAAAGCAGAGTATCATAGCAGTAAAGAGAAGCATCATGCTTTATACCTGTATCTAGTTATTATACACGGAGAAAAACTAATGTATTCGATATATATTTCAATTCATGAATCGAATTTCTATAGTACAAGTAGAACTCTTACATACAGATGAAAGGCCCCTTTGAGTTTAAATTGGTCTTCAATCCGTGGTTCCAAAATAAGGTTACATCATGATCTTCGTGAGTTTAAAACTTTTGAACGTATAGAAACTAGTATATATCTGAAATTAGACGAGACATACACCTTAAGGCATTTAAAATTACTTTATATGTAAATATAAGAATATATTGGTGTTTAGTTTCAGCAGAGGTAAGGTGTAGAGTCTACGCTTACACCTACACTAAACGACGTAACCTGTCATTTAGCGTAGGCCAGAAACAACGGAAGTTCAAGTTCAGAATAAATACGGAAAAGCAGGTAGGGTCGTTGACTCTGGTATGACGACCTTAGGTGCTGCGAAACGCTCATCATGAATGTCTCCCGCTTTTTGATCGCTCTTGTTTTGGTCGTACCGCATTTTTGTTTAGACAATCGCAACCAAGAAATTGATAAGAATAATGATAAGGCCACTAGAGAATCAAGTAAGTTTTTTTACGCTAACTCAGCATATTTTATTAGTGTTTTATGTATCTCACTCTATTTGTACTGCACGAATTTTTTTTTTCATTTAAAGTTGTATTTTTAAAAAATCGGTCTTTCCGTCGATCGAAAGTAAAGAAAGGTTCGAAAATAATATATATATTAAGTACTCTAACCATAAAAATTTTTATACAAGATGAGTGATGCGAATTTCAAGTTACTCTGCACGTTGCCAGTGATTCGATATTGCGTGATATCCACCTCTTAATTTCAGGATTGAGGAGGGCCATCATAAAAACGTCGTCTCCTGCTTTGTTACTGCTCTCGTTATCCGTAGGAGCAATAGCAACGTTTTACTTATTAGAATCTCCCCTCTCTCCGTTACCTCTTCTTCCCTTGCCCTATCCACCGGTTGGCACTTATCCACCCAAAGAAACGGTGGCTGCCGGAAGAAATTTTGCCAAGAATCAATGGATGCTGTTTACTAAACATTGACATTTGATTAAATATCCGGTAAGCTCATCGGCTATTTTTTTTAACGTTATTAACGTAGAATCAATTGTATATTTCATAAATAGATCATACTATTCAATATACGGACCATAATATAATAATTTTGTGGGTCTTCCGTATATACGCTCTATATAATGCCCTTTTTATAGTAGTACTATTTTTGAAATTTGTTATAAAACGGGCCCTCAATTATTGGGTGCTATGTCTCTAATTATGTCAATGGTAACACGTGAGGGTGTCGTGTTCCACCCGTTCGTGACAGTTCAACACGTGGGGGTGTCGCATGGCACCAACTCGTGACACCATATTCGTGTTGCTTTCTACTCGCAAAACATACTAGACACCTAAATTATATAAGCCCGTTGTTATCCGGTTAACTTTTATGAAATTTAAACATAAAACACTTGTAGATTCTGGTATATAAATCTAATATTTACTATTCGTAATTTTGTTTTCAGGGTAAAATGTGATATTGAGAGGATTCCGAAAGAAAATACGAGATTTATAATAACTAAAATGTCGAATTTTATGTAATTTATTCTTCTTAATAAAGTAATTTAATTTATAATTGCTGACTTTTATAATTTATATTTTTAAATATAATAATTTTTATTTAAATGAAATATAAGGTGGAAACTTATGTGAATGTAATCTGCTATGAGAAGTTTTTAGCATTTACCAACGAGTGGGGTCTAACGATGGCCGAGAGGATAAAACCACCGAAAACTTGTCACGGGTTCGTTCCTCATTAACCCGTGGAATTTTCCGGGATTTCCTTGCGTGTACACTTACGTGGGGACAAATTTTCAGTAGAAAATCTTCCTATGAGGTACAGGTACAGTACCTCCTTGCCTGACCGCTCGCGTGTTGCGTTACCTCATCCCATCAAGCCACTCCGGGTGTGTGTCACTCTTCAGAGTCCTCGGCAATTTCGCAATTTTTCAAAGTATTAAAGGGGAGTATCAAATAACAGATTAGGAATGATTATTTAAAATGCGACTGAGTACATTCCTTCACTTAATTAAATATGAATATCTAAAGCAGATATTTGTATTAAGTAACGTATAAGAACAGTATAGTAAGCTCATCATGAAATATAGAATGTTAAATTTTGTATAAATAGGATGCCAAAAATAATTAGAGACTTCAGCATTTCGTGGCTTCCCCTTTCTGGTCCTCTTCTATTTTTGAGTTTAATTCGTCGATTTTTTTTTATTTTGGAATTTTTAAACTTTATTGATTCATTCTTTTATAGCTTAAATCCTCCTTCATATAGGAGAATGCTGTTTGCAATTTCGCAAAATCATGGAAAGTATTTTGAATATAACTTAACTTTTAAATAATTAAAAAATTGTCTTATTTACACGTGAATAATTTATTGAATAAACATGAACGTGTGTGTGTCTATATGCACGTCTACATGCGAAGAGTCGAGTGAAAAAAATCTAATGCAAGGCCTCTACCAGAAGTTGCGTTCGGCCACTTACCTTTTTAGGCCCCGGTATTAAAAAAAACGAACAGTTCTGTATGTAGTAAATACAGGATGTACACGTATCAAGAAATAGACAAAAAAATAAATAGGACTCACATAATAACAGGAAGATCACCCGGATATTCGAGATGTGGGTAGCTTGTAGGAATTTTGAGTGGGTAGGACGGAATATAATTGTTACGGAACGCAGAGGTGTTTAAACTGATCGAGAGTCACCAGCCGTGGAGTAACATCCAAAATCATAAACGAATTAGATGAAGTTAGAAGTAACAAATGTTAACATCATAAGGATGTGTTGAAATTGTCGCTAGTTTAAGAAATTTCTTCGTTACGAAGATCACATTGGGTGGGGTAATTATTAATTTCTCTCGAATGTCGAATTTATTTGTTACTGGCAACAGCGAAATGCTGCAAACACGAAGCGAAGATTCTGTGTCATAAGACGACATTCAGGTATGCTTAAATATTTGTTTCATGTAATACTTATAATTTTTAATGTAAATCTATTGTAACACGTTGTGTATTAAAAAGTCCTCAATTAAATATATAAATCGGTGGCTTTGGAGCTTTCAGTTTGAAACCGTTGCCTTGGCATAATTTAGTGTATCGGGTACGTCGGATACCCAATGATTTATTTAAATTTGAAATGGATTATTGGGTATGAAGGAATCTTGCGACACTCCTAGAAACATCGTGGGATGTAATGAAAGCCAGGCTGAAAACTGTTACAGAGGCATCTTAGACTTAAAGTGCTGAAATTTGATAAGTCAAAATGTGTATGAATATGTTACGTAGCGAACGTAATGTTCGTATGCTAGCAAATTTTTCTGTAATCTGAAGAATTTTTTAATATTAGTTGATTGTGATAAAATTTTATATTTAATATATACTTTTTTGTAAAAAAAAATTGATGCACTTAAAAAAAGAGAAAGCTACCACGAAACTCTGTGAAAACGCTATTTGGCTACATAGTCAAGTGATTAAAACCCTTTGTCAATGAGCGCACCGGGCACAACAGAAAAGCACATTCTCGGGTTCATATGAGGAGTGCCGTTCACACTAACGGACAGATTTGATGAGGTTTGCTGTTTATGTTAAGTGCTCTGAAGATTCCTCAGCATCACTACCGTTGCTAAGTAAGCTGAACTAAGAATTTGAGAGCGGTCACATTATAGGTTTAAAAGCCAAGTATGTATCGGTCGCCATCTTGGTAGACGTTATATGACAGTATGATGATGGCAGCAGTGGGTCCAGGAAGGCGCGCACTGTCATCGCAAAGGACCAGAGTGACAAGTGCTCGAATGGTTCGTGCAATTAGAAGAACAGCCATTACAATATCAATGGCGTACCGTCTTTCATTCACAGGAACATACCTTCCTCTATACAGCTAGTAGTATGAAAGGCACCATTTGGCAACGCCTGTAAGAGGTGGAACTTCATCCCGTTGTTCCCTAAGATGTCTAACCATTGACCACCAATCGCAGGCAGTGCATCTGGAATGATGCCGATCCGGAAATGCTGGGCACGGATGATCATCGTATCCGTGTATAGAAGAGGCGTGATTGTCACTCAAATCCAGCTGCAGTAGTCGAGCGGCAGAATGGCATCACACTTGGGATTACAATCTGTGCAGTCATTTCATGACTACAGAATTCCCAAAGTATTGCTACAAAATAAACCACGTTGGCATTCTGCAGCCAATTATACTGCCTACGATGTTACGCCTTCTAGGGCTATTATTCATCATGATAATGCCAGACAATTGTAGGTTATCTGGAGGAATCTGAAAAGACATTAGACTATTGTTTGACTCCATGCTGCGCTATATATTGGCTCGTATTGCCAACAGAGGAGGTTTTGCTACGTACTAGTACGTAGTAAAACCACCTCTAATAACTTGCCTATGTAGTAATTTCGCACTAATTAAAAATTTTATCCTTTTGCAGTGAAAATTTAATCGTATTTATATCTTATGGTTATGGCACCCGCGATGGCATGTTGTTTCATAGCGATAGAACACTATTTTCAAGGTGCACCAATTTTTTTTTAGTATTGGCTAATTCGTTACGATATCAATTAATGTCATCAAACCCTTCTACGGAAAGATCAATACGAATTCGTATTACCACCCAGTGATAAAGATTTTTCTGGAATGTTTTCTCAAGCGGCCTCGTGATTGACCTCAAAATAATAAAATAAACGAAAGATTTAATAAAATTTTGTCTATCAATGTCAAATTATATCAATTAGAGATACGTAATAACGAAAAAATGAATTATTATTATGTAACGTGCGAATTTCTTTGCTTTTATCATTGATCGCTGCCACACGAACGATTTTGAATTGAAATTTCGACATTGTTCAATCCCGTTACTCAGAGCGACAAAAGTGAAAATAGAACTTCGCTTAATGAAAGTGGATAATATTGAAATAACTCTTATAAAGAAACCTTTTTACTAGAGGAGCTTAAAGGATATTAGCCACAATTTTATGTATTTTTCGTTTTAGTGTAAAATACTCTGTTCGGCTCCCTCTGCAGAATAAAACCATTAAACACTAGTAGTTGGTCGCGGGTTTGCGCCTGACCGATAGGCGGGTGAATTGGAGTTTTCAAGGTTTCCTTCACGTGTTTAAAGGCGGATGAATATGAACGGAAAAATTAAGGCGACATCGAACGTCAATGACGGCTTCCACCAATTGCCTCTTTTGACCCTGACAATTAAAATGACTGACTGGTCGAACCTGTCGTCGATGCCGTATTCCATCAACTCTCCGTCCTATGGGTACTGAGGATTTTTATACCCATTTTGGGTTCAGCCAGGCCCATATTATGGACGGCCGGGTGAAGAGGGACGGGGTCCGACATTCCACGAGAGGTCACCTTGAAAAATCTTGGGAAGTTACTCACTTCGACTCGATCCCAAATCCTCCAGAGTGGTAGGCGGATGCCTAAACAATCTCAGCCATCTGGCTGTCTAGAGATAAACCACATAACACTGGTAGTTGGTTGAGGATTCGCGCCTGGTCAACAGGCTGGCCATGTAGAATTTCCCAGGTTTTCTTCACGTTAGTAATATCCTAAATAGAGGCCAGTTTCCATGAAAGACCTCCCGGGAGGCACTCCCTCTCGGAAGATCGTACATGTGTCGCATTGCCGTACAGTACATCAATAAAACCAATCTAATTACTTTATTCTTCAGATCGAACTAAACAAAAGATTTTTCATTTTATTTATCTAAATGGATTCAATTCCAAATAAAAATTTCTATCGAAAATTCCATTTGGGATTTACATGAAGAGATAGGAAATATTTTGGACCAACTCTAAGAACTCTAACGAACAACTTACAAAAATATCATTGAGTATAATCAGGCCCGTCTTTGGTACGTGCGAGGCCCTGGGCCAAGAAAAGCTTGGAGGCCCCTTTAAGAAATTCGTAATGGAGGGTTAATGTTCATAAATTTTTTCAATTAGCTTTCTTTACTAAACATATTGTTATATTTATGTTTAATAAAATTTATCAAACATATCTTTTGATTGTTTACTGTTTATAATAATTTTATTACTTGTTGCTCTATTCAATTTTGCATATTTTTGAGGTCTCGAATGTTAGGTGGCCCCTGAGCCAAGGCTCGGTAGGCCCACACTTAGTTAAAGACGGGCCTGAGTAGAATTCATAGGAAATCTTTGAATACGAAGATCAAAGATGACGTGAAGAATAACACTCACTTGTCAGATCAGATTTTTCCTTTCTATCGTTTTTTAGCTCTCTTCCCCGTGGAAACTAAGAGAACCTTTTTGGCAAACTTTTTGGCCCACCGAACGCGTGCACAGTGCGGCGACCAGGTGGTGAGATTCACACCGGGGCCCGACAAATCCATATCCCGACAAGTTTGAACGGGTCGAAAAATTCCAGGAATTTTTGACCCGTTTAAACTTGATTCCGTTTTCCCTCAGAACGTTAGCTGCCAACCTAAGTGCTCGGCCATCTGGTCCTCAGCCTTTCTATTTTTGCTTAATCTTCCTTGTACGCGCTAAGTGGGACTGTTTGGGAATGAGAGGGGCCGGAGCAAGAATTTCACAAACCTGGGCAGTTTTTGATGGGAGATTAGCTCGTTCGCTTGCGACGTTTCGCTTATGAGTGGGTTTACACATTGACCAAGTGGATAAAACCACCGAACACTAGTCGCATGTTTACGCCTTACCTGACCACGGTTTTATCCACGTGTCTAACACCCAAATAGAGGTCAGATTTCCGTAGAAAGTCCGCCCAGGACGCACCCTCCTCATCCCTCATCAGGACGCTTTGTCAGATCGCCCCAGGTGTTATATTGCCTTATTCACCAATCACACTTTTAACTGGGGCGAATCCTGACCAAAATTATTGGGCATGCTGAAAGTTATAATAAGAATAATAGCCTATCTCGAGCATTAAACAATAGGCAAAAATGTTATTTGGTGTGAATAAAAAAGTATGGACTATTACAAAGCTCATTATATCTATAGAGGAGAAGGTGGTATTATGGAACCCCAATTACATTTTAGTGAATTGTAAACAAGGTATCATAACTACACCCACATTTATGGAATTATGGTATTTATGGTATTATGGAACCCCAATTACATTTTAGTGAATTGTAAACAAGGTATTATAACTACACCCACATTTTTTGTGCGAAAAGTACTGGTAACTAGTAAACTAAATGTTCCTAATTGGATTTTTCGCTAGTGTAATTATAAGTATGGTTTTTGAAGGCTTTTGTACAAAAAGTCCGAAAGTAGGCTTAGAGAAAATCGGGTGGTAATATGGAACCTTA